TTCAATTCTTGTCTGCAACCTACTCGTAGTTAGTTATTAAGTACTGCATTTTCATTACATGATATTTAGTTAATAAACATCCAATTTGTTATTTAAATATTTCTGAACATTGATTGCATGAATTTGTGCGAGTCTAGTAGTTGTGCTTAATAGGTTAATTCCTTGTGGGATTCGACTCCGGACTTGTTGACCAAAATATATTTGCAACGACTGCTTAGTCCTTTTTATAAGGCATAATTGGACGTGATCAAATTTTGGCGACGTTGCCGGGGAAGTTAACGGTGTTATTAATTGCAGCCACAAAAAGTGCTAGAATTTTTAGTGTAGTCAGTTTTCTTTATTTTAAACTAAATATATTGAAATTCTAACGTTTGTAGTCTTGGGTGTTACAGGTGCATGCCTAGAAACTCCTCAAGAACCGGTGAATTGCTCGAAGCATTATCAGATCCTGAGAAAGTTTTCAAGGCACTGAACCGTGCAAACAAGAAGGGCAAACATCAACAGAACTCAACAGAACAAATCGAACCAGACATAGATGACGGAATAGAAAATCCAATCAACAGAGTCAATGCAAATGACACGAACAATCAGGGCGTGGTGCCTCTTGTGCCTGAAGCAGCATTGTATGATTGGGCATAACCTACCACCGAAAATCTGGCAACCGCAATTGCAGTCCCTCAGATACAAACGGAATCTTTTCAAATCACAAACAACATGCTACATTTGTTGCAGAACAAGGGATTGTTCTCAGGGTCTTATGTTGAAGATCCTCAGCAGTATCTGAAAAATTTCCTGTCGATATGTGTTATGCAAAGGCAACCTAATGTGACACCGGAAGCAATAAAGCTGTTACTGTTCCCATTCTCAATGACGGGAGAAGCTCAGACTTGGCTTAATTCACTCTCCATAAACTCCATCACTACTTGGGAGGAATTAGTTAAGCAATTTGTGAACAAGTTCTACCCACCCAATAAGACTGCCAAACAAATTGATGAGATATTGAGCTACAGGCTGAGACCAACAGAAACACTACAAGAAATGTGGGAGAGGTTCAAGGGTATGCTAGTTAAGTGTCCACCTCATGGCATTCCAGATCAGATGTTGGGGTAGAGGTTCTACATGGGATTGGTAAACAACTTAAAGGCCAATGTTGATGCTTCAGTGGGGGGAGCATTTTTTGGCAAGTCATTCAGAGAATGCAAGATCCTACTCGATAAAATGGCTCAAAACTCATGATGGATGACAAGAGACTCCATGATCACTTCTGTAGTTCACTCTGTGGATTTGGACCCAAACAACTCCATAGCCGAAAATATGGCCACTCTGATGATACAAATGAGTATCCTCACCAAAAAGATCGATGAATCAGGCCAGAAGTTACAGGTATACATAGTTGACGCGACTAATGGGGGCTTATGTACACCATGCATTAACTAACCATATGCATTCTCTTGGAGTGCAGAAAGTGACAGCCAGCACTATCAGGAAGATATGAACTATGTGGCCAACTATGGAGGACAGAGGCAAGGTGGTCAGAATTGGGGGCAACAAAATCAACAATATAGACTAGCACAGTAGCAGTATAATAATAGCAGCAATCCTGGAACTATGCGACCACAGGGTCAAGTTGTGCCTTACCAAAGGCAACATGGATACAACCAACAAAATCAGTAGCTAGCTTATCAACAACCTCAACGACAGCAAATAGTGAGACAAGAAGATGGGTTGCCTGAAATTAAAGGAATGTTGCAACAACTGATTGTGTCCAATGGAGAAATGCAAGACAGAGTGGACTCACATGAATCATCGATAAAAGGCATTGAGATTCAATTAGGACAGATTTCAATGGCTCTAAATAATCGACCCCAAGGGACGTTACCGGCCGACACACAAGTCAATCCAAAAAAGCAGGGCCCGAAATAACTTATGGCAGTGAGTCTAAGAAATGGTAGAGACCTAGATCTTGAGCAAGAAATTGCTCGCGAAAGCCGACCAACTGAAACACTTGTGCCAGTACCCATTGAGGTAGATGATTCAACAGGGTTAACTGAGGTAATAGTACAACATGCGCAAGAGGGCACAAGCAAACAAAAAGAGGTTGCAAAGGAGACTGAGGTAGCACAAGAAATGATAGTAGAAGCGGTGCCTGAGAAAGATAAAACTCAAATCACAGGAAGGAAGCGACCTCCAGCACCATTCCCATAGAGATTGGCCAAATATCAGAAGGATGAGCAGTATAAGAAATTCATGAAGATGTTAAAACAAATCCAGGTGAACATTCCACTAATTGACGCTTTGAGGGAGATACCTGGATATGCCAAAATGATGAAAGATTTAATGTCTCACAAATATGACTTCCAAGACCTGGCCACTATTACACTAACCCAGACCTATAGTGCAGTAGTGACGAGACCCGTAGCTGAGAAGTTGTCAGACCCAGGGAGTTTCACAATCCCATGCACAATAGGCAGCTATGCTTTTGCTAAAGCATTGTGTGATTCGGGGGCAGGCATAAACTTGATGCCCTTAGCTATCTACAAAAGGTTAGGTATTGGAAGAGCAAGACCCACATCCATGTACTAGTGCAGGTTGGAAAGTTTGTGTTTCTAGCAGATTTTGTCATTCTGGACTGCCGGGTTAATGAGGAGATTCCCATAATTTGGGGAAGACCATTATTGGCCACTGGGAGAGCACTGAGTGATTATGAAACCAGAGAGCTAAAAATGAGACTGAATGATGAAGAGATCACATTCAATGTGCAGAAGTCTATGCGATGACCAAGTGAATTTGCTAACTGCTCTCTCATAGAAGCTGTGGATGTAATTTTGGAGGACGGAGATGAGACTCTGAATGCTAAAGACCCTCTAGCATCCTGTCTCACGAACTTAGAAGAAGTAAATGGAGAGGACTTGGCGGAGTGGGTGCTGGATCTTGAAGGCCAAGGGTTCTGGAAAAGAGAGCTCGAAATTGAGTCTTTGCACTTAGAAGAAAGAAAGACCCCTCCAGCTAAGCCATCGATCGAAGAGCCACCACAGTTGGAACTGAAGCTGCTACCACCTCATCTCACGTATGCTTTCTTGGGACCTAACTCAACTTTACCTGTTATTATCTCATCTGGTTTGCTAGATGTGCAGGAAGAATAACTTTTGCAGGTATTGATAGAGTGCAAAACTGCAATTGGTTGGACCATTGCAGACATTAAGGGTATCAGCCCAGACTTCTGTATGCATAAGATTCTACTGAAAGATGGCCAAAAACCTTCCATAGAACATCAAAGAAGGCTGAACCCCAACATGAAAGAAGTTGTGAAAAAGGAGGTGATAAAGTGGTTAGATGCGGGGATCATTTTCCCCATCTCCGACATTAACTGGATCAGCCCAGTCCAATGTGTGCCAAAGAAAGGTGGAATGGCTGTAGTGCAAAATGAGAACAACGAGTTGATATTAACAAGAATAGTCACGGGATGGCGAATTTGTATGGACTACAGAAGATTGAACAAGGCCACCCGAAAAGACCACTTTCCCTTGCCGTTCATTGATCAGATGCTAGATAGATTGGCTGGGAGGTCCCACTTATGCTTTCTAGATGGATACTCGGGGTATAATCTGATCTCTATTGACCTGGAAGATAGAGAGAAAATGTCATTCACCTGTCCATATGGCGTCTATTCTTTCCGGAGAATGTCGTTGGGCCTATGCAACGCACCCGCCACATTTCAAAGGTGCATGATAGCCATCTTCACAGATATGGTAGAAGACATAATGGAGGTCTTCATGGATGATTTCTCAGTGGTGGGAGACTCATTCGATGATTGCCTAAAGAATCTAAAAAGAGTGCTGAAAAGATGTGTGGAGACTAATCTGGTGCTCAATTGGGAAAAGTGTCACTTCATGGTACAAGAAGGTATAGTCTTGGGACACCTAGTGTCAAGTAAGATCATTGAGGTGGATCATGCAAAGATTAATGTGATAGAAAAGCTACCACCCCCACTTCCGTCAAAGCAATAAGAAGTTTCCTTGGCCACGCCGGTTTCTACAGACGGTTTATAAAAGATATCTCCAAAATTGCTAACCCCTTGTGTAAACTGCTTGAAAAAGATCACCCTTTTGTGTTTTCTGATGACTGCAGGGTAGCATTTGTGGAGTTGAAGAAGAAACTGGTGACTGCACCAATCATAGTGGCCCCCGATTGGGGGCAACCTTTTGAGCTGATGTGCGATGCAATCGACTATGTTGTGGGAGAAGTTCTTGGCAGCGAAAAGATAAAGTCATGCATCTGATCTACTATGAAAGTAGAACCTTAAGCGGCGCCCAACTGAACTACACAGTGACAGAGAAAGAGATGCTAGCTGTGGTGTTTGCATTTGATAAGTTCAGGTCATACCTGATAGGCTCAAAGGTAATTGTTTACACTGACTATGCTGCCCTCAGGTACCTAATTGAGAAAAAAGATTCAAAGCCACGCCTAATTCGATAGGTGCTACTGCTACAAGAGTTCAACTTGGAAATTCGAGACCGAAAGGGAACAGAAAACTAAGTTGCTGATCATTTGTCCAGGCTTGAAGGAGCGAAAAAGAAGGTTGAGGTAGAGGATATCATGGAGACTTTCCCAGATGAATAAATCTTAGCAACGAGCCTCGAGGATACACCATGGTATGCAGATATTGCAAATTACCTGGCAAGTGATATTGTTATGATTTTTCTTCTGTGCAAAAGAAAACATTTTTTCGTGATTGTCGCATGTATTTATCGGATGAACCATATTTGTTCAGGATTTGTCTTGATAACATGATCCGGAGATGCATTTTCGAGATAGATCAATCTTCTATTTTGTAGGCATGTCATACTTCACTGTATGGAGGACATTTTGGAGGTGTAAGGACAACGGCTAAAGTGTTGGACTCAGGTTTTTATTGGCCGGCATTGTTTAAAGATGCACACTTCTGGGTGAAAAGTTGTGATGAATGCCAACGGACGGGGAATATTTTCCATCGACATAAGATGCCCATGAACCCAATTGAAGAGGTGGAAGTATTCGATGTATGGGAAATTGACTTTATGGGACCATTTGTCAGCTCATATAATAACAAGTACGTACTTGTAGCGGTGGACTATGTCTCGAAATGGGTAGAAGTCGTGGCACTTCCAAAAAATGATGCAAAGGCAGTTATTGGTTTCCTGAGAAAGAACATCTTCACCCGATTTGGCACTCCAAGAGCTATCATCAGTAATGGAGGCACCCACTTCTGCAATCGAGCCTTTGCAAAGCTGTTGGAGAAATATGGCATTTGCCATAAGGTTGCTACTCTGTATCACCCACAAACAAGTGGGCAAGTCGAGGTGTCAAATAGAGAAATCAAGAGTGTTTTGACCAAAACTGTAAATGCTACTCGGACTGATTGGGCGAGAAAATTGGATGATGCGCTATGGGCTTGCCGCACTGCATTCAAAACTCCGATTGGTATGTCGCCGTATAAATTGGTGTTTGGAAAGGCATGTCACTTGCCAGTGGAGTTAGAGCATAAAGCCTTCTGGGCGTTGCGACAATTAAATCTGGACGTGGAGGCTGCTGGAACTAGTAGAGTCACAGTGCTACATGAACTTGATGAGTTTCGGTACCATGCTTTTGAGAGCACGAGGTTATACATGGAAAGAATGAAACTAGTGCACGATAAAAACATTCTTGAGCGAAATTTTAAGCCGGGAAACAGAGTATTATTGTTCAATTCGAGATTGGGGTTGTTTCCGGGTAAATTGAAGTCAAGATGGTCATGACCATTTTGTGTGCTAGAGATTCATCCCACCGGAGCCGTAGAGATTGCTTCAGAAGATGGTTCTCGCAAGTTCAGAGTCAACAAGCACAGGTTAAAACATTGTTTGGGCATGGATGACATGAAAGTAGTATTGGCGACTCATTTTCTAGAGCCACCAATGTTGAGCGAGCCTTAAGTCGATTGCCTGCGTCGTGCCGCGACGTTAAATCAAGCGCTTCATGGGAGGCAACCCATTGTAATATTGTATTCGTCATACCGTGACATTAACTAAGGCGCTTGTTGGGAGGCAACCCAATTCGTGGTTGATCTTTAGTGTAGTTAGAATTTTGCTTTTTGTTTTTTAGGTACTAATATGTTTGCAGGTAATTTTAGCAAGTCGTACAGTGCACTGCGCGTCGCCTGGTCCTCAGCGAGTTGGGATAGGAGTTAGGTCTCGCTTCGCCTGAAAGAAAGCTCGTGTGTGAGCTCTCTTCGTGAGGGGTAAGGAGAGGTGCAACTCGCATGTGAGCTCGCCTCGTGAGGGGTAAGGCGAGGTGCAAGTGGCGTTAGGCCTCGCACCGCAAGCCCAAGAGCTCGCGTTGGAGCTCGCCTCATGAGAGGTAAGGCGAGGAAGCCACCTCGCATCGCCAGGTAAGTGCATTTTTCGGTTATTTTAATTATTTTTTCCTTATTTATTTTAACCCCATCCCTTAAAAATCTAACCTATACTCCCAAACCTCATTGCTCACAAAACACACTCAAGAACTCGACCAAACCCCCCCCCCCCCCCCC